ATTTTTATAGTTGCAAATTGGTTGCTTCGTGGGAGAGAGTGATGCTGGGGACCGTCTATTCTGCCATCTTGACTGAACCCCAAAATTCAAGTAAAATGCCAGGGGAATATCCAAATACACAAGAATGCTCACTCTGTTCTGAAATGCAAGACAACCCCCAAGATCAATGCCAAGAATCTGTACTTATCCAAACTAAGCAGCCAGCATATGATGAAGATGAAAACCAGACACAAAGTCTTGATCAAGATCAAGGACATGGCCAAAATGAAGATGGAATACCAGACCAATATTCAAGTACACAGGAGGGACCACTCATTCAGGAAAAACAAAGCACACAGGGAGATGCATCCCAAGGCAAGCATCATGTCCTAACTATAAATCAAGGAGGTGGTGATGGTTATAGTTTGACCCAAAATCCTAATCAAGATCAATGGCTTGGCCAATATGCAAGAGAACAAGTACCACACTACGTTGAAAAACAAAGCAGATCCCAGGATGGGTCCAAAGGCAGTTATGTTCCCCAAACTGAAGGGCAAATACATGACCATTCTCACTATCATTTACTAAATCCTAGTCAAGTTAAAGAGCATCAGCAATACTCAAAGAGATGGTCAGTCCAAAACCTACATGGACCTACCATTTATTAGCAAGTAGAATAGCAGGACCAATATTAAGGTAAGTTTACCACCAAATAAAGGAGATACCTACCCCAATTATAACTTGAACAAGGGGATTACTGAGGACCATGGTAGGATTGATAACCACTGTCCACACCTAGAGAAGTGCTGTGTTACAAGCTGTGGGAAGATGAGCACCACTCCCTGGTGAGGGGAGTACCTGGTAGCAGCAGGGAAGATGCCTGGGCTATCAATGGGTCCTAGAATTTTTATCCTTAATGGTGTATTCTTGAATGATTTTTTTGCATACACCTGCCAATTAAAAACTTGTTTGGACATGCAATGCCAGTATACACATATTTATAAGCTGCTAATGTTCTCATGGCAATTCTTTTACTTTAGACAGTAAATCTTAATTTCCTGCTTATATTAGTATAAAATGTTATTTCAGTTAATACTTTCTTTCTGCACACCAGTGAATGTTTTTGCATCCCTGTAAGGGTTCACGTATCCTCCTTCAGAGACCACAGGCCTAAAGATTAGCTGCTATTTCTTTCAGAATACAGGAAAGAGATGACTAGAAAGGAAGATTCCTGTTTGTAATGTGAGAAAGGAGGTGGAAAGAGAAGCACGAGAGATGGTGAGAGACCTCAGGTGCCAACTGGACATCTGCAATGTTGGGAGAGAAAAACTGAAGCTCCAAGAAGAGAAATGATACTTCCCTGTGCCTTTGCAATGAGTATCACTGCATCTGAAGACAGAAGGAACGATGGCTCCAGCAGACAGTTAGTGGCCTGGCATCTGTGTCCCAGTAGAGCTAAAGGGGGCAGGAGTCCCACCTCCCATTCCCAAACTCCAGTGTTCACCACTTTCACATCAATGACTGTCCCCTTTCTCTCTAGGTGTCACCTCACCTCAGTGAAGTCTGTGAAGTCTCCGAGATGCAGACTCCCACATGGTCCCAGATTTTTGATCAATGAACGACAGCACCTGCCCATGTTTCCTTGTCCTTGGGCTTCTAAACCTGGAGCTTCCTCAAACACTTGCTTGTCAATAAAAAGATCATTTTCTGCTTCATTTGCTTTTGGTTCCTTTAGTCTCTGGATTCCTAGAAGGTCAAGGGTTGGGTGCGTTCTTGAAATATTCAGTTCTAAAAGAAAAGGAAGGGTCATTTTTGGAGCATGGCATAGTAACCAAACAGTAATCAAAGCCACATTTCTAAATCTCTGGCTAGAAAGGAAATACTAAATACAGGGTGCTGGAACTCTTCTTGTCACACTGTCTACCACTTGAGGCCAACACTAAAGCCTCTCATTACCCCTTTACTAATGGGATCACAAGAACTTACAACTTCCCAATAAGAACAGAGAAGATGTATTGCAACAGGCTCTGGGAAAGTCACTGATCTACTTGTGCCATCAATTCCACAGGTCCACAGCAGCACATTCCTTCACGTGGTTTAAGTATTCTTCTCCCCCTACAGCATTCCTTAGGATGCAAATGTACCACAGAGTGATATATTAAGTCTCCACCACCTGAGAAAGAACGAATGAGTTAAACAATGTCATCTGTGACTAGACAGGCCAGAAGACCAGGTAAAATAGTTTGGGGGGTGTGGTCTTAAAAATGGAAACTCTGTCTTCCATTGGTGGATACTTAGGTTGGTTCCATACAAATGAGTTAAACAATGTCATCTGTGACTAGACAGGCCAGAAGACCAGGTAAAATAGTTTGGGAGGTGTGGTCTTAAAAATGGAAACTCTGTCTTCCATTGGTGGATACTTAGGTTGGTTCCATACTTTGGCTATTGTAAATAGAGATGTAATGAACATGGGAGTGCAGGTATCCCTTTGACATGATGGTTTCCATTCCTTTGGGTATATACCCAGTAGTGGGATTGCTCGATCATATGGTAGTTCTACCTGTAGTTGTTTGACGAACCTCCATACTATTTTCCTTTGCAGTCCCATGGAATACACTTCAGCCATAGAAAAGAATGAAATTCTGAATGAATTTGTAGCAACATGAATGGGTCTGGAGAAAATTATGTTAAGTGAAATAAGCCAGACAGGGAAAGAGAAATACTGTATGTTCTCACTCACAACTGAGTGCTAAGAAAGAAGGAAAGAAGGAAGGAAGAAAGGAAGGAAGGAAAGAAAAGACCAGAGCAATATTGAACTTACAGAAGGAGAGAACAAACCTAAGGGTACTACAGATGGTGGGGAACGGAGGGAGGGAGTTTGGGGAGTGATAGGTCGGGTAAAGGGCATAAAGAAAAATAACAATTTGTA